GTTGTAATGAATTGCTGAGTTTGCCCATAATACTAACGAAAGAGGTTTAACTTTGTTTTGCATAAGGCGAAAATCATTTATACAAGCAATTGGGGAGGGTGGTTTAGTCCTAGAATTGGAACACAGATTGGGGTTGGTATTCATTATGATACACTAAATAAAACTTATGATTCAAATAAACTTAAAATTAAAACACAAAAAGGTATGTACAGGACACTATTTGTAGACTTCGGAGTAAATATAGAACTGGAACTCTACGCAGAATCCTGAAATAAAAAAATTATTATTTTTTTACCTTTTTAAAAGAATTAGCTTTGGATTTGTGTATAGATGCGACGTATTTTGTGTTTTTGTGTTTTTTTGGTTTTCTAGAATTTGATAATTTAATACTTAGACCAACAATTAAAGATATAGAAATGGAGAGTACGCCAGCGAGAGATAAATATATTTGATAACTGGGGTTAAGAAGAGGGTATAAAAAGTAATAAATAGTTTGAAGGTCGTCAGAGGTCAAATAACTAAGAATAATTTGGTTGTCAGTTGCAGTAGGGCCAAAAAAATACGTAGTTTTATTAAAGTCAACCTGAGTAGTGAATTCCGATTTTAACAGAAAAGGAGAGTGAATTTCATCTAAGGAAAGTGAATAATTCAAAACAGGTGAATGAGTGTCAGGATATAATAGAGTGAGTTTAGCCTGAGAGGGGATAAATACACCGTGTAAAGTAAGGAACGGAATAATCTGTGTTGATTGTAGGATAGGGCAAGTTAATAAAATATTAGAAATGTGTCTTTGTTTTATTGCATCAATACAAGGGGTTTGTACTATTGATAACTGACAGTTTTTAATTTCATAAAATTCAGAACAAGTCTGATGATAAAAAGTAGAATTATCATTGGTTGGACTATATAAATGATTTAGATCTAGAATTATTCCCGCTATCGGGATGGGTTTGAGAACTTTAAAAGTGTCAAAATCGTGATTTTGAGTCATTTTAATAGTAACCAAAACTCCCTTATCGTAATATTGCACTTTTTCTACGTGGAAAGTTTCTTTTCCATAAGTTCTAACACATTTATTTAGATTCAAGCTTAAGGTGGTTTCTGTGGGAATGTCAAAATTTTGAAATACAGAAATAGCTGAATACTGTTTATCAAATAACGCTAGAAATTCATGAACGCTCCCTTTAATAGCAAGAAGTGAATTAGCTAATAGTTGAAAGTTTTCCCCTTCAGGATTAAGCTTATCTTGAGCCGTAAAGGAAAATGATGAAGGAAATTTGTTTACAATGACTTTCAATTAGATCGTTAAAAATGGATTGAGATAAAAGTTGACGGGTGAAAGTGCAAGGGTTAGGAAGGTGTTTAATATCTTGTTGTCCTAAAATTTGTTTGGTTATAGCATTAATTTCTCGTATGAGACGTTTTAGGTTTGTGAGATCTTTTAGTACATTGTTTAATACTTCCGGAACAGCATTGGGTTCGGATGTAAGAAAGTCACGAATTGTTTTAAATATGTCAAAAATCAGTTGAGTTTCTTCTGTAGTAAGAGTAAAAATTTTAAAATCTAAATAAATCCTAGTAGTTGTGGTTTGTTTAGCTAAATCAATTTCCGAGGTAGGAACTAAAAGATCAAGGTCGAGGGCTACAATTCTCGTTATGTAGATACAGAGAAAATAGGCGATAGTAGGGGCATACATAATAATTTTTTTTATTCCCCTAGGTAAAGTTATTTTACGAAATTAAATATATCATTGGTATAAGGGGGGAAGGGGGGGGGGGAAAAGAAAAGGAAGGAAAATAAAAACATTATGAATGGAACTTGGTTAGATTTCACATAATATAACATGAAACTAATTTACCTTATGGTGAGAAAATCTCGAAAGTTTGAGCTCTAGCCCTGCAGTATAGTTGTAGAACTTGGAGAGCTTGAGTTCTAGTATAGCTGGAGAGAGATTGTTCTCGTGTAAAGGTTGGGTGAGGTTTTCCCAGGATATTAGAATACCAATCTGGTCCGAGTCCAACTACTCCAGTAGCTGGGATGAACAGGATCTTGGTGAATCTGGCCACTAAAGCCGCGGCTATGTTCACCTGGTACCACAGGTGGATGAGGTCAGATTCGTTGATTTGGAAATTAGAGGATACTGGAGGTTGACCGAGGACCACAAATTCGGGATATTTTCCTCTCGTTTGGTAAACTTCTTGTGATACTCTTGTCAGTCCGCAAAAGAAACCTAGGAGTATATTTTTTAAACTATGTCTTAGAAGTTTGGTCCAAGTTTCGGGTGAATGACACATCAAAAAACTGTAGAGGTTCAATTCAATACAAATTGGGATATCTAAAGGTGCTTTGAGAGCCATCTCCTTTATATGTTGGATATAGTTTTTGTCAGCAGGAAGATGGTGAAGAGCCTTTCCTTCAAGGTGAACAATTCCTTGCACAGTATTTTCAAAGTGAGTGTAGAAGTGGGTTGGCCATTTATTCTCTTGGGAGTTGTCTGGAGACAAGTTTAGAATTGGGAAAGGTGAATTGGGAAGAGTTCCAGCATTATTCAGGAGTTGAATTCCTATAACTATGGCTTTGTAGGATTTACTGTCAATCGTTGTTATTTTTCCGGGTTTATGCGTTAGGTAGGACTGTCCTAAGAGATGAGGGCCGGCATAAACATCAGCGCCATAGAGCAGTTCATCAAGCTTAGTAGGTAACTTGGTAGCGTTGTTCCAGAGATCTTTCAGATATAAACCAATGTTAATTTGGCCTAATTCATAGAAGTAGGTTTTAAAATCTTCAAATTTGTCTGCAAGTTTGGTTCCGAATCTCAAAGCTCGAACTAGCTCAGTGACCGCCAAGCTATCAGGTTTGCTCAAATAACGAGCTACAAGCTCCACCAAGTTTGGCATCTGGAATGATTCATTTTCGATTTCTGCTTGAAAGTTAATGAAAAGTTCAGGTTGGTTCATATATCTTGCAAGATGGGTAAAATTGTGGATTTTTAGAGCTTCTCTGACCATGAGTTCAGTTCTGACAGTTGTAATTGTATGAGGCTGTCTTCTTTTGTTCAATTCTTGAATCTGTGGGTTAGTGAAGAGACGCAAAACTTCTTGGGAGAGTTGATAATGAGGCTTGGAGTTCATTAGATGGATTAATAAATCCATGGTTGTAACAAATCCGAGGTCACACATTGGGCATTTTAGAGTGTTGTTGTGATGTTGCAAATGGTGGGATATCAATGTGGTTCGATTAAAGAAACCATGACAGAGATTACAGTAGATCTCAGTTTTCTCTGAGTGGTCTTTAGAGAAGCCACAGTGAACCATCAATGACAAAAAACTAGGGAATACTTCTGTACATTGTAAACAAAGGAGAGGTCCTCGTATTTGTTTGTTGAGTAGATCTTGTACAGAGGGATTTTCTCCAAGTAATGATCCATGTGTCATCAGATGATGGATATGTTGAAGAGGTATTTTGGTTTCATCTCGTAACTGAACCTGGAAATCTTGACAATTCCTGCAGGTAAACAATCCATTCGGGAGAGTAGCGCCTAGAGTAAGAATTGCGAGGGCATGTTTCTTTTGTATATCAAGCATTCCTAGTTTATGTGTGATAGCGAACCCGCCTAACCGTCGATAGCGCTCCAGAGACACATTAGGTGGTTTTTTGAAACAAACTTGACATGCACGATCTGCTATGATAAACACATCTTGATCCGACTCCAGTTCTTCATCAGTACCACTGGAGTCATCCTCGAACACAACTGGTTCTTGAACTGGTCCTAGAATGGTTTTTATTCTTTCATCCATCAGATATCCAATTGCTGTGTTATAGGCAGTTGGATGGATTAACGATAATGACGGTTTAAGGATGCCAGTTGTATTGGAAGTCTGGGATGCAGTATTGATACTTTGAATATGACGTATTGGAGTCTCGGACTGGTTGAGGTCAGCTGAGGCTGCAGATGTTTGAGATGGTTTTTGTACTTTACAGGTGGGGTCACTTGTTTCTTCCAGTGATCTTTTTAGCCATATTTTTCGGGTTATTGGTCCAGGAGGTCGCTTGATTGTAAAGGTTGGAGTGATAATATTCTTGGGTGGTTTAACTATGGGTGTGAGAACAGGAGAGTTGGTTTCAAGTTTGGATGGATGCTCTGATAGTTGATTGTTTGTGGATGAAGGAACTTCTTCAGATTCAGGGGGGTCAGTAGATTCTTTTTCCATGATATCAAGTTTAGGTTTGAAGGTTTGAGAAGGTTTCTGTTCTTCACACGATGGATGCAATTGTCTATAAAATTTTGGAGTTAGATGTCAGGAACATATATATATTATACGTCCAACCGAAGCTGGATTGCGGTGTGAAAAAATGTACGAGGTATCTGCACAGACTAATGTATTGTTTGAATAGTCAAGGGTCATGAAGAGGGGTTGGTTAATATGAATATCAGGTTTGGGTACACATTTTACAAAAAACATCTTGTGTAGATAATGATGAAGATTTTTTGGTTCAAATTGCTTATTAATTACTACGTCAACCAACCAATTTTCATCAAATTCAATCAGGAAATCCATACAAGTGTAGGCAATGATAGTTCTAGGAAAAAAGGTTTTAAGAGGGAATCTTTCATAGTCATATTCTGGAATTCTTAAATAGTTTTTGATTCGTGATAAAATATGGGGTACAGAGGGAGCATATAAATAAAGTGCCTTCTTATTGTGAGAGGTTTCGTTATGATAATCACAACAAACAAAATGCGCGTAGATTCTTGTAATTAAACGTTTGGGTAAATTTAATTGTAAAATAAATTGAGTGGTTGATATCACAAAATGTTTAGCCCACAAAGGAATATTTTTGTGAATTTCCATAATGGCAAAAGTTTGCAAGGACATGAGAGAGGGAGTCCTCATAATTTGCGCGCTCAAATCGTTTGTGCAGCAGTTTTTAAAAGAGCCAATTGGGTTGGGGGATAAAATGGTTAAAAGATTTAGGATTTGAGAACATTTGGATGCCATTATAAATCTGTGTTAAAACTAACTTCTTTGGTTTCTGAATCAGATTCTGAATCAGAATTAAGAGTTTCTTTTAATTTAGCAGCTCTTGTTTGCATAGAAATAGGAGGCACCTTAGATTTATTCCTTTTAGGCTTGGTTGGAACTGATGTTGGTGTAGAGATATCTAAATCTGTTGGTTCTAATTTATCTTCAGGATTAGATTTCAGAGATGGGTTTAGCTCAGCATCACCTAGATTAAGAGTATTATTATTATCTATGTTACCATTTTCTGGATTAGGTTCTAATACAGGATTCAAATCAGATGGGTACATGGCATTTTCATTTTGTAAATCTTCACTTTGATGTTCTGCTAAAAGTTCATAATCTAAGATATTTCCATTAGGGTGATCTAAAGTGCCTAATTCTCTTAACTTTTCAAAATGTAATCTGTCTAATTTATCAAAGGTATGAACTAAAATATCTCTAACTTCCAAAGGGAGATCAGAAAATTCGGAACTTAACGGTGAATATTTCTTAACCATATTCATATTATAGATGGACTGGAATCCATCTGCTAATCTTTGTAATAGTAGTGTAGTATGTTTGACCTCTAAAACTACATAAGGGTCACTGCTATAATAACTTCTTAAAGGGCGTGAAGCTCCTAAAGTGATTTTCGTGTCTTTCAAGAAAACATAATCTCCTTTTTGAAAATTGTGAACAACTTTATTTTTATCAAATTTTTCTTGAGTTGCAATTTTGTATTCATAAAGTGATTCTCTAACGAATTTTAAAACTATTTCTTTTTCTTTAAACTTTTGTTCTACGTAAGATTTGTGGTTTTCTAGGAGTGGATAAAGTTTTGAGGGGAGAGGTTTCGTGAGATCGGAGTGGTTATGAACCGAGTTCAAACCGTGGAGCATCGTTAACGGAGAATAATTGGTTTTAATGCACACTGTAGAATTGAACTGTTTAACAACTAACGGCAAGATAGTATTCCAATTATACGTATCAAATGTGGTAAGAGTTTTCTTTAATAGTTTTTTAATGATTCCAACAGATCGCTCAGCGATCGCGTTAGAAGTAGGAGAAAGAGAGGCAATTTGAATCTTTTTAATGCCTAGAATTTGTAAAGTTGCTAGAAAGTGTTTTTCACTAAAACACGGGGCATTGTCACTTATAAAATATTGGACAGAAAAGTATTGGAAAATATCATATAAAAGATGGAATAATATCTTATCAGAAGTTTTAGATTTTAACGGATATACACGAATAAAACCAGATAAACCACAAACAATGATTAAAAGATGTTGAAAACCTCCACTAGGGTTAAGGTTTTCAGCTAAATCTGCAAATATTGTGGTAAAAACGTTTTGTGGTAAAGGGTACATTCCAGATTTATGTTTTCTGTTAGTCATATTATTGAGCGCACAAGGGTGGCACCGAGCGGCAAGATTTTTTATTTTTTCTAATTTTTGCGGAAAATAGTAAGTAAACATTAAAGCAGACATTTTGGCTAGGCCAGCATGTGCGTAGGCTAAATGGTAATGAGCGATCATTAAGCCTTCTAAAGATTTAGGGACAACAATACGTTGTACACCTTGGTCAAAACAGTACAATAAACCATTTTGATATTTATAATGTTTGGTTTCAAAAGTCGTAGATTGATTATCGGATTTAAGGCAGTTATTAATTATTTGATTAAATTGAAGTTTTTGTTGTAATGCAATATTTGCAAAAGAAATTCGTTTTTTTAAAGCGTTAATAGGTTCAAGGAGTTTGGTCATATCTTGAACAGTTTTATTAAGGGAAAGTACGACCTGATTTGTGGGTTCAGTTGAGACTACTTTTAATAAATGTAAATTTTTGTTAACAAAATCTTTCCACTCTGGGAGAGAAAAGGTTTTAGAAGAATCTAAATGGTCATCTAAATCAGGAACAGAGTAATTTTTAAAAGGAATTCGTTTAATATCAGAAGTGTCAATTGAAAAATCACGTGATAAATAGTCTGCGATATTTAGTTTTGTATTAACAAAGCGGAGTTTTAAATTAGGATAATCACTATATAGTTTATCACTCCATCTTGCAATTTTAGTGGATGATTTATGAAGAGGGTTAGCAAATAAAAGAAATAAACTCTTAGAATCAGTAATAGCTAAAAGTTCACTATTACCAATTAATTTGTCTAGACCATTTAATGCTAATAAAAGAGCCATCAATTCTAATTCCAATATGGGTTTAGTTAAATAATCATTGGGGATAATTTTAGACCAAAAATGAACAATTTGAAATTTTTCTAATTGTTTAAGATCAAAATCCGAATTTTTGTCAATATAATAAGGACGAAAAATTAAAATATCTGATTTACTGTAAAGGCCTAAAATGAACGGGGGCTTTTCAACATGTGGGTTGAATTTAAGAATTGGGTTTTTTGAGTGAATTTCCAGAGAAGAAATGACGATAATAGTTCGATAAAGAGACAGGGCGAGGGCCGTAAGCAATTCTAAATTATTGTCTAGAGGTCCTTGATTATGAAGGAAATTATTAGTAAAAAGTTTATAATCATTTAAATTATTATGAAATTGGTTTTGTAGGATTTTTTGTTTAATAATAAGACTGTCTGTAGCACGTTGAATAGTGATTTCTCGCATATGAGAAATAGAGAGAAAAGAACATTGATAAACATATTGAATTGACCTAATAGAAATGAAGAGAGAATCGTGAATAGTCTCTTTAGAATAACCTAGGTATGGGCATTGCAAATACGACAAATCGGGGATGGGACTAAATCGTGTTTTAGATTTAGGGAGAGTAGATTTTGGTATAAAGGTGTCATGAAAATAAATATCACAAGGCTGAAAACATAAACGTTTATCATAAATTAGAGCATGCACAGGATCATTTAAACTTAGATAACTGGGAACCACAAGTTTATCAGGTGAAAGAGTAGACACTTGGCCTAAAACTGCGGAAAAACACGAACCTTTAGATGCACTGGCGTCAGTAAATAGAATTTTTGGTAACTTAGGATCCACAATATTGGAGAAAAGCGGAGTTTTTGTAAGTAACGTTTTCATTTCTTCAAAAGCTGTATGATGCACAGGCTTAGGTTCGTATTTTACATTTGCGCCGGTTAAAGGTAACAGAACTTTTAAGGGTTTCATAAGGACATGAGGTGAAGTTAAGCCAAAGGGACATTTTTTAAAGACATATTTACCCAAGGGGCAAGCAAAGGTAGTAATGCAGACTAAACTATAATAAGCCGAAGATAAATCAAATAAAGTAAATAAAGCTTGATTATGTAAAGTGTGTAAAGTAGGATTAATATCAGGAATTAAAGGGACCGGTGAACTGATAACTTTATTTACAATTCTATAGTCGATAACCATACGATAACTTTGTGATTTATCCTTTTTTCCTACCAGATAACAGGGACTGGCAATTAAGTCATGACCGCGGTCATCAGGGGGAACACGTTCAATAATCTGATATTTTTCTAAAAATTCTAAAATTGATCGCATATGTTCTTTTTCTTCCTGAGCTAAATAGTAAACCTTAAGAAATTTAGGGAGGGTTTCATTAGGTTTTAAACATATATGATAGAAACCAAGGCTATCAGACAGGGAGCCAATATCATAGGCGTGCAAACTAACAACAGAAGAATATTTATCAATAAAAATATCTTTAATAAAGGGTTGATGAGCTTTTTCAAAGGTTTCCAATTTAACTATATCATGGATAGTGTTTTCAAGATTAGGTTGCCCATAGCCCTGAGGTTCCTTAATTGTATCCGGGATATCATCAAATACACCATAAGAGTCATCAGAAGTTGATGGGTTTATTAAATTAAAAGGCATATTTTGTAATTTATCTTCAAATGTTTTATTTTCGACAGAGTTCAAGGTAACTTGCTCAGTTTGCAATTTTTCTAATGTATGATCAGATTGGATTATTTTCTAATCAGGGTTTGTATTATATGAAGGATTAAAATTAGATTCATAAGGTGTCAAAATTAAAAATGATGTCAAAGGTAAAACAGGTTGGTTGGTTTAAGGTAAGGATTCTAATAATTTAATTTGTTTAAGAGGAAGATTAGGTGAATGATTCTCAAAATTTAACACTTCATGGACTACAGTATGTGAACTAGTTGAGGTAGACATATCAGTAAGGTCAGAAATGACATCGGAATCGTCTAAAGTTTCCACTTTTCCCTTAATTTTTCCAACGAAACAAACAAACAAAACACGTTTGATTTCAAATAGAAGAAACCAAATGCTGCTCACTCTGGTTAGTCCGGTGTGAGTAGGCATAATATAGACAATGTTTAAATCACTGAAAATATCCGTTTTATATAAAGGGGCTTTATCCGCAACTTTAAGAGATGCATTTAAAGAGATGCATTCCCCCATTGACCATGGTACACTTCAAACATTGGACTTATCATCGACGACAGAGATCTCAGTGTATCA